TATATATCACATATATATACATACATATATATTTCTAAAAATATATATCTATAAAATAAAAACAACTTCCTTTCAGAAATGTTTTGAGGATTAACCAATACAAGATTATCAAAGCACTGCTTAGCACAGTGAGTTGTCCTACAGTGAGCACTATTTAAAGGGATTTCTCTTTCATTAGCTTTCTCAGAAAGCCTGTCCTTTGTTCTTCTAAAATTTTAACTCTTAATATCCTTTTCCCCGCACCCTTGAAGACGTGAGAACCCTTCCACTCCCTGCAGACGTGAGCATCCCTTCCATGCAGCACCCTCTTCAGACCCAACATAGGACTATTGTGGAAGAGGAACTCTAGTTCTGGGGCTTGACCCTCGTGCACGGAATTCATTGGGAGACGGACCGGAAGTTACTCCGGGCCGGAAATTGCTCCTGTCGCTCTCTTTCTGTCGCGGAGGACATTAGCAGACCGGCGGTACAACTGCTGTCCCAGGGCAGCTAGGAACGCATGGTTCCTGAGTGTGGACGCTTTTAAAGTACAGAGGCGGAGCACCCGGAGGTGTCGGGAACCGAGTCCTCCTCGGCCGCTTCATGCCAGGTTGGAGGCTGCTGGCTCAGGCCGGCGCCCAGGTGCTGGGCTGCGCCAGCGGCGGTGGCCTGAGTGCTAACCTGAGCTTGGGGTGTAGGTAGGTACGAACAAGAGAAGGGGTATAGGGGTCGTGCCGCTGCACAGCGGCGTCCTTGAGCAGGGTCATAGCTTGGCGCAGAGGGGCCTGCCCTGGCTAGAGGAGGAAGGGGCTCTGTCCAGACCAGAAGTGAGGCACAGAATAATAAAGAGCGTTAACTTAAAAAAGCATCTCCTAAGGGATTGAAGGTGTGATGTATTTTAAAATGCTTATAAACAGGCGATTAGCTGCGAATATTTTCAGTGGCAATCATATCCCCCAGCTAATGAGCATGTAATATATGTCAGACGCTCTGTTGAGTGTAATGCACATTTGCACTTATGTGAGCAAACTATCCTACGGTTTACAGGTAAAACTGAAACTTAGAAAGGGAAAGCAACTTGCCCACAGTCATTTAACACATAGTGTAAAATCGCAATTCTAGCCTAGCTCTACCTAACTACAAGAGGGAATGGACCACCAAAAGCTTGCTTTCTTTTCTGACCCCCCTCCATGTAAAAATAACACACCTCCTTTCTGACCGTTACCCACTAAGGTTTCTCTTGATATATTCACTTGGCCATGTCTTTTGGGGTCTTCTAACTTTGTGACACCAGTTTCTTCATGTCTGTGTGCCTAGGCCGTGTCATTGCAGGGAGGAGATGAACTTAGAGAAACATCAGTGCTGCATCCTGCCACCTCCACTGAATATAAAACTATTGAGATACACATTCAAAAATACACATGGGATAGTGACTTCAAATGGGATAGTGTCTAGGTAGAACTACTTTATCAGGAATTGGTTTATCCCAGAGGAGATTAAGAACTTTTCCTCCAGGGTAACCATTCATGGTAAAATGTGAACTCCATTGTGATCATAAAGAATATTAGGGGGTGGGAGGGATTCACAATTCAAACCCTTTCCTCAGGCTGCAACTACATTTTCTAACATGTGGCCTCCCTTTCTTACATTAAATGGAAGAATTGTGATTTACATTAATTTTCATTTTTACAGAACAAACATCTGGCTTTTTGTTAGAGGTCTCCATGGCAAGAGTAGTACTTGGTGGTATGAGCATCTTTCTGAGGAAAATGCCTCATTCGTTAAGCAATTGGTCTCTGATGAAGATAAAGCCCAATTAGCAAGTAAAATGAGTCCTCTGAAAGATGAACCATGGCCTATACATCCTTGGGAACCAGGTAATTCTTTTTTATTTGATGGGTTCTAATTTTGGTGTGGATGGGCTATTTAAAATTATAGGGATTGCTGGATAAATTTTTCATCTCTTGAATTAAGGTTCATGTCTTCAGTTTGTGTGTTTCATTGTGATTTGGTTTGCAAGTTTATTTTTGGCTTCCTAATCTGTTAGTGAAACACCTCCTCAAGAAACTGTTTTGAGGTGAAAGGAGACTCATTCTGCATATATTCTCATTTTCTTCAGATAAACAGAATACAAAATAAATCAGCAAAGAAGGGGTAGAATTTGATGCAAAAATTGAAATATGTCACAAAAATGGTTTCAATTGGGATGTTCCAACATTTTAGGTTTGCCAAGAATGACCCCAATATTAGCTCTTTGTATCTGGTGAGATATTAAACCCCTGTGTGGCCAGTCTAAGAAGAAAAAGGCCTTTCCCATTGAGTCTGTAGTCTCTGGTTGGATATATTGTGACAGTTGATTGTATAGTAGCCAAAAGTTCTTAGTAGAGCATCTTTGTTGATTATGCAACAAATGTAAGCGTTATGATAGAAATTAGCATATTTAACACTATAACTAGTTATAGCATACTTTCTTAGAATTTAAGTGGTAGATTTTTTTTTTTAAGATAGAATTTTTTTTAATTTATTTTTTCAGTTTTCAGTGGACACAACATCTTTATTTTATTTGTATGTGGTGCTGACAATCGAACCCAGGGCCCTGCACATGCCAGGCGAGCGTGCTACCGCTTGAGCCACATCCCCAGCCCAGTAGATGTTTTTTGATTATTAAAGTTGGGCATGAATTGATACTACATAAGCACAATGATGGATTTATGTATCCTATGTATATGCTATTATTTAAAAACCGGAATATGCTAACTTACCTTATGTTCTTTATTTGGTACAGTTTTCTTTCATTTGTTCATTTTACAAACATTTATGAATATCAGTATATTATGCCAGGCATAGTTAAAGACCTGGCATCTGTTGCATCTGTAAGGATCAATCTTGTTTACTCTGTGACCACACTAGCATATTTTTTTATATGCCCGCTCCTTGTATTAAAACCAGATTTTAGGAGAGACTATTAGATCATATTGGCAAGTGTTCAGAAGCTTTTGTTTTAATTTCCAGGTTCTTCTAGAGTTGGCCTTATTGCTGTGAAACTGGGTATGATGCCTCTGTGGACTAAGGATGGTCAGAAACATGCAGTCACATTACTTCAGGTAAAAAATAAACAAAACTGGAAAGTGATTTTAGTATGTCAAGATCTCTTTGTCTGGACTTTCATGATTATTATTATTTTTTTTTTTTTAAAGAGAGAGAGGAGAGAGAGAGAGAGAGAGAGAATTTTTAATATTTATTTTTTAGTTCTCGGTGGACACAACATCTTTGTTGGTATGTGGTGCTGAGGATCGAACCCGGGCCGCACGCATGCCAGGCGAGCGCGCTACCGCTTGAGCCACATCCCGAGCCCACATGATTATTTTTTTGTATCCTAAAACATGTAATAGTGTGGTGAAGAAAAGAGTAGTGTCAGACATAGATAATATCAAAGAACTTTTCTTCTGATGGTTTCAGGAATGTTTTGAATCTTGCCTGAGCAATGACCTGATACTGGTATTGGGATAACTGCAGCTGTACATTGGGGTTAAGTGCAAACCTAGCTTCTCACAGACTTGCCAGTTTAATTCATTATTGGGAAAACATTTCAATCCCATCTTGTTTCCACTTACAGAGTTCTTTCAGCTCCAAATTATAATTTTGATCTCTTTGCTAACAACAGAATGTAATGTACTCTTCTCTGAAGAAGCCACATTTTGTTTACTGAGATGAGGTATACTTGAATGGTTAAGAAAGTGGGTCCTGGGACAGCATACCTCTGAGTTTAAATCCTGATTCTGGCATTCACTTTGTTCCTTGGAGCACCATACCTCATCTGTAAAAGATAAGTTCTATTCTGTGAAAGAAATAATTCTGACCTACCTCAGAAGGTTATTGAGAGGACTGCACAAGATAATAAATATCAAGCACTTGAAACAACATTAAATGTCTAGAAATTGAGCAACTGTTGTCTTTATTACTACAGAAAGAGCATTAGGAGAATATCACTGCCCCAGTCACTTTGAACAACTCAGTTAAATCTTTGGGACCTAGTCTCAGACAAATAATTAGACAAGTGGTGATAATTAAGTACTCGTAAGTATTTAGAATGCTAATAAGACACAGTTAGCCTACAAACCTTCATAAATTTTTATTGGTTCTGAATGATCAAGTACAGGACCATGGTTTTGACTCATTTGGGAAATTTGAAAGTTTTCAGGAATGGCAGGTAGGATTGTAGATTGATAACAGCCATTTCAGAAAATAATTCAGTACTATGTAGTTAAGTTTAGATAGTTTAACAATTCCCTTCACAAGTGCTACTGGAAAATTTGAACAAGTGTGTGCCAAGATTCCTTTATAACAGTTTACAGCAACATCACACTTCATACCCCAGAAATGGAAATATCCCAATGTCCATTAGCATTAGAATGGGTAAATAAATCATTTCATAGTCACAAAATGAAATGCTATGCAGCAATGAAAATGAACAGCATAGAGTTACACACAACACAGAGAAACCTTACAAAACCATGTTGAGCAACAGAAGACATGAAAGAGTATATACAGTCTAAACCAGACAACACTAGATCCCTTATTAGGCAGTCCTCTCAAAGATAGTAATCATAGAGAAAAGTGATTACCATAAATGTCAAGAGTTATTTCTAGAGCACTGTTTCTGAAATTGTAGTAAGCCTCGGAATCATCTGGAGGTCTTATATAGCAGTGATTCTGATTCAGTGGGTCTGAAGTTGGAGAGTGCATTTTTAGCAGGTTCACAGATGTGGATTGTCTGGGGCCCACACTTTTATTCCTGCTCTGGAATAAAAAGGCAGGGATATGATTGGGAGATAAACAGAAGTTTTGGGGATTCTACTTCTTGAATCTTTATAAGCATTCATTTCATTGTATATTTATATTTTATGTGCTTTTCTGTTTGTTGTATTTGACAGTTTTTTAAAGTTTTAATTGTATATTTTAAGATTGTGATTGGCATTACAGGGATGATGAGTTAAATAACTTTGGGGAATTTCTAATTATCCTAGGTCCTTTTTTTTTTTTTTTAGGTACAAGATTGCCATGTTCTAAAATATACTCCAAAGGAAAACCATAATGGAAAAACCGCGGCTCTGACTGTAGGAGGAAAAACTGTATCACATTTCCATGTAAGGATGTATTTTCATTCCTAGACTAGTACATTTTATTAATTTCAGATATTTATTCTTTTGTGTTTTGAGATCATTCTATAGCTACAAATTTGCATTTATCCATGAGGAAACTTTTGTGTTTGGGGGAGGCAGTCAAACAGGGCCATTTTGCTCAGAAGTCTGTGGGAATTTGAGTTTGTTCCAGTACCTTCCCCTTCATCTGGAACAAGTGATTTACCTTTCTAATGTTAGTGTTTGTATATCTGTAAAATGAAGATAAAAAAAATGCTAGCTGATAATGTTTGTCACAAGGATTAAATGTTTTTCAAATTTGCATGAAATATAATAGACACTCAATAAATTTGGTTATTTTCTTGTTTTTATTCCATTATTCCCATGTAAATTGACTCAGCATTTGACACCAACAGCATGTAAGGATTCCTTTTTTTATCTCGTCGAAGGAGCTTTCAGTTCTTGGGAGAAAGCTATGTAGGAACTCTCATCAGATTTTTTTTTTTTTTTAATAAAACATTTTTCTCTAAGTATACTACTAATAGAATGTTGACTGAAATTTAAATTAGCGGGGGCGGGGGGGGGAACTGCCTAATTAGTAATCTCTGTTGTGTAACTCTTAGCAAAAACTTTTTAGGTAAAGTGATGGTTTTCACTAACAAAACATCTTTAGATTTACTAGAACATATTACTTAACCCTAAGCAAACACTTTTTCATTATAAGTCGTTTATGATTTGAACATACACCTCATACTGTCCCTCTGTCAAAACTAGCAAATGTTTATTGTTTGCCCATTATTTCTTTGTCATAGTTAACTTCGTTGAGTGTTTATTACATGCTAGTTACATAAGCATTAAGCCTTTTACATTCATTACCTTAAGTAACCTTTTCAGCCTCTTAAACTGAAGCAATTAAATAATTCACTCAGGATAGCCTATTGTTAAGAGGAATAGTGACAGATTCCAGAATCCTCTGTGCTTAATCATTTCTTGGTAAGAGAGATGAACAAATAAATTAGCCATTCTAGTACAATATTATTAGAAATCCAGGAAGCACAGAACTAGAGATAGCCAGTTCTTCCTTGGAAAATCCCAAGTGGTTTCAGACCAGAAAGGAAAATAAATGTTGAAGGCATGCCAGTGGGAGTGGTTTCTCCAGAGACAGGTGGGATCATGTGTACTTGGGAAGAGACGTATGGTTATGACTGCATCTTAGTGTGTGGTTGCAGATGCAGGTGTGGACCAGTGAACAAGAATGGCAAAATAACTGTCAAGATGGGTGTGAAGGAGTTTAGACTTCAAAGAAATTTCTGAATTTTTTAACCAAGGAAGTAACTGGATCAAGTTGTTATCTTGGTTAACTACAATTAGAAGAGTCTGGTTTCAGGGAGTACTTTTAGGAAGTTGTTTTAAGAAACTAGGAGATAGTTGATACCTTGAATAGACTTGTGGAAAACTGGGTGAGTATGGGGATGAGGGTAAAAGGACTGAGGCATAGAACTGTTTGAAAACAAGCATCTGAGTCAGTGCTGATGCCATAAATTTGGAAGGGACAATGAAAGGAAAGCTTTGGAGGAAAGATGTGTTTGAGGTGATCCCAAAAAATCCAGATGAAGTTGTCCTATTAATAGTGAAAAATGTTCATTGTCAATAGTGATTGAGTCGTCTTATAGAACTGGCCAGTTTCCTAAGTGTTAGAGAAGTTAGCTAATTTTGAATATTACGGTAACATAGTCCTTTTTTTTTTCTGGTAATATCCATTCTTAACGGTTAATTACCTATCAAACTTAAGTTTCAGTAATAACACAATGAGATATTTGTGGAAACTTTAAAAATATCAAATGTTTGAATTTTTTTAATTGGGTAAAAAAATTAGTCATAAATGTGTACACATAAATGTGTACCAGGCTTCATGTGACTAATTCTTTGGTTTGGCATAATACTACTGCTTTCTAATTGATTTTACTTTATTTCTGTAATAACTAGTATAATTTTTTTCATTACCAGTTTTGTAAATTTATAACTTTATGGCCTTGCTTTTTGTAAGTCAGACACTGGGTTGGGATAATTTATTCTGCTTCAACAGATCTGTGAACATTGCTTCTTCCAAAATAAGAGATAGTGGGAACCAGTGGATGTAGATTTGAATTCCAATCCTGTGTTCTGTCATTATTTATTTATTTATTTATTTTTGGTGTTGCTGGGATTGAACCCAGGGCCTTGTGCATGTGAGGTAGGCACTCTACCAACTGAGCTATATCCCCAGCCCCACTCATCTTTAGAACTTCCATCTTCTTTCCCATAAAACAAGGAATAGGACTTAATCTCTAAATCCTCTTCTAATTCTGGAAGTCTCACATTGGTTCTCTGAACATTTTAATTCTCAAGAAAAAAACCAAAAGTTCCAAAACAAATGTGCTTGGGAGCTCAGTTTAATTTATTCTGTCTTACTCAGTTATGAAGATGTGTTATAGGTAAGATTTTATGAAATAATACTAGTAGTATTAGTATAAATAAAATAGTATTAGTAATTTAAATACTATATAAATTATATTATTGTAGTTTCATACTCAAGACTATGGTCCCCATATTTTTTCTCACGTTCTTATAGCTTTATCTTCTTCACAGTAAGGTGATTGGGATGTTGTTTTCTTAAGTTGTGGATTTTGCCGCTCTCAACTTACATGAGCTTTCATGTAATTATTCCCTTCTTCAGCACAGGAAGCACTGCAAAGGACCTTTTTATGTGATTTCTTCAATATATAGGTTTTTTATTACAATATTAAAAAAAAAAAAGCTTTGCCTATAAGTAACCATTCTTTAGAATGAGATGTGAATATGAAGTTACAGATTCTTTATAAATAAAGCAATTTTGTTTGAAAAGGAAAGAGATTTTGAAGTATATAACCATCCTCTTGCATATTTTATGCAAATAGATTCTATAAAGTAGAATAAAGCTACAAATTGATCATAGAGGGTTTCTTTTAAAGTAAGATCTAATAGAACTAGAACTGTTTGAGGAATTTGTGCCCTTTAGGAATTAGACTTGTTTGATTTTTGCTATTTTTGTATCTTATAAATAAAAACTGATATAGTACATACTGTTTTGAATAAGGAACTTACTGGTCCATTGGGAGCCTTCAGGTCTTTTTGATAAGAGGGAGTGTTGAGGAAGAGAAAATAGGAACTTAAGTGGTCTTAAAGGTTGATCAAATAAATTCATCTTAAGAGCAGAGAAGCATTTCCATTGTTGTAAGGATAATTACAAAGAACTTTGAAGAGGTGGGGGAAATGCAACCTCATCGATTGGATTATTCCAGTATGGCAATGCTGCCAGTCTTTAAAATTGTCTTTTGAAATAATTTATTTGAACATTTTAAAAAGAAAAGAAGAAGAAGAAAGAAAAAAACTGCTTTTGGTTTCATCTTAACTTGATCATTTTTCTCATGACTGAGACCTAATTAGTTTTGTAACATTATTATTTTAACAGAAAAAAATCTAAATATTCAATTTTATTAAAATTGAAAAATAATAATAAGTTACTTAGTTCTTTTTAGGTTTTAAGTCAAGAAAAGAATTCTTCTCAGAAACTTCTTTGTATACTTCATTGTCTAAACTGTCAGTACATGCTTGGATCTAAAGTTAGAAATGCAGATAATAAAGCCATATAAGTAACTCACAGGCCAGCAGGCAGGCAAAGATACACAGAAGTAGATAAATAAGTGATTTGAACAGTAGTATATGCAGGTTCTAGGTTGGCGTAGACAGAGGAGCAATGGATTCTAGCAAGGCTGTTCACAGAGGATTTGGATGGAAAATATAACTGGAGCTGGAACAAGAAACATGTAACACAGTTTTAATGATCTTCATGTGGAGGTGCTGGGTAGGAAGGAGATTATAAGCTAAGAGTGGCATAGACAGACACAGGTATGGATATACAGGACACCATGGTCCATTGGGGGCCTGCAGGTCCTTTTTGATTAGAGGGAGAGTTGAGGAAGAGGAAACAGCAAGGAAATAGATATACTGGTGCTGGTTATATTTTGATGAAAGAGGCACTGTTTACATCAGAAAATATAAAATGATATTTTTGGGGGCAAGTCTTATAGCAATGTATATCAAGAGTTTTAAGTTAATTAAGGGGAGGGTAGATACTTGGAACATTATTATAAGGAAACAAGATGTTCATAAAATTTTATTTTCAGAGATATTGATTGTAGTTATATTTATAATAGCAGGAAAAAAGTAGGATTGAGGAGAAGAGCAGACAATAAGAACTACCAGAAGCTGGGGATACAGTAGCAAGTAAAACAAGTCTCTGCCTTCAGGAAGCTTACACATTGTGGGATTGGGTAGCGTTCTATAGAAGATAAAACAATATTTAAAGTTATTTTGAAGATTAAATATAGTATTTAAAATCTTTGAAGATTAATAAATCAGCTGAGTGGGTGACAAGTGACAGAAGTGGTGCTATTTTAGATAAGAGTAATTCAGAAAAGGTAAATTGGTATGTAGAGGAAGACCAAAGTAAATGTGGGAGCAAGTCACCCAAAATTCTGGCAGTAAAGCTCAGCAGGCAGGGGAAATAGTATACATAAAGAACTTGAAGCTAGTGTTGGATATGTTCTTAGATCAGTAAGGGAGTTCATTTCTTCTGAAGCAGGGTGAGCCAAGAGAAGAGTAGAAGATAAGATCATTGTGTAGAACCTTATAAACCAGGTACTTAGAACTTAATTCTGCATTGAGGTGGAAGACACAACAGAGATATGACATAGCTTAAGTTTTAAAATGATTATGGCAGCCTGTGAATTGAGAATGGACCAGGGAATCAGGAATAAGGAAACATGGACCAGGCAAAAGATTGTGGTATGGAGGAGAGGGGAGGTAGGAAATTTGGTGTGGGCTGAATTTTTAAATAGAACCTGTGTCATGTGAAAGAGAGGGGTGACCACAAAGTTTAACCCACACAACCAAAGTTGGCATTTATTGAGATTTGGAAAACTAAGAGAAAGCAGTCTTGGGAGGAAGTTGAGTCAATTTTAGATGTTAAGTTTGAATTGCTGTTTGATATTGAAGTAGAGATAATGCAATTGGACTTGTAAAATTATAGTTCAGAAAATAATTTGAAGTTAAGTTAGAAATGTGAAGCCATTGAGAACTAAGAGAGTAATGACTAGAAGCCAGGTGAAAGTCTTTCAAGGAAGGAGTAGTCACCTGTGTTGACTATCCCTGATCAATATTGACCATTGTATTTGAGTATTAACTAGTGCATTTGACTATGTAGAGATCATTGATTACCTTGCAAGCCTCTTTCTATTGAATATTAGGAGCTGAGAGCACCTTATTAAAGTGGGTTCAGAGAATAGGTAGAGAGAAAGTAGACTTAGCAATACTTTTGAGGAGCATTGCTGTAAAAGGAAACAGAAAAACTAGCTGAAGAATATATGGTCAAGGAAAATTTTTTGTTTTAATATGTGGGTTATTATGACATGTTCATACACTAATAAGAAAGTGTTGGTTGGTGTAGACTCATGAGATACTTTTAAAAAATACTGATGCCTAGGCTCCACCATAGAGCAGTGAAGTTAGTTTCCCAGCAGAAGACTGTGACATTTTCTAAAAGCTCACCATATGCATTTCATGTGCATCCAGGAGTGGGTTGGGAGGATAGCAGTACAGGAGTGCTGGGATAGGTAGTTTGACTTATTTGGTGGTGGGAACATGAAGAAGTTCTCTTGATTCTTTTTTTTTTTTAAGAGAGAGAGAGAGAATTTCTTTTAGTATTCATTTTTCTAGTCTTGGGCGGACACAACATCTTTGTTTTTATGTGGTGCTGAGGATCGAACCCGGGCCACACGCATGCCAGGCGAGCGCGCTACCGCTTGAGCCACATCCCCAACCCGTTCTCTTGATTCTTCAAGTTGAACAGCTCAGAGAGGGGGGAAGTAAGGAACAGTGCTGTAGATTTTAGAAGAGGATGTGACGTTGTTTTAGTTAGCTTTTTCACTGCTGCAACCAAAAGACCTGACAAGAACAATTAGAGGAGGAAAAGTTTATTTAGGGGCTCACAGCTTCAGAGTTCTCAGTCCACATGTAGCTGACTCCATTGCTCTGGGCACAAAGTATAGCAAAATATCATGGTGGAAGAGTGTGGTAGAAGAAAACATCTGGGAACATGGCACCAGGAAGCAGAGAGAGACCTCTCCTCACCACGACAAAATATAAACCCCAAAGGCATGCTCCCAGTGATCCCTCCTCCTCTGGCTACACTCTACCCACTTTTAGTCACCCCTGACTTAATCCCTATCAGGGGATTAATTCACCTCTTATAACCCAGTAATTTTATCTATAAACTTTCTTACATTGTCTCACACATGAGCTTTTGGGAGACAGCACGTATCTAAACCATAACAGACTTAATTGCCTTGGAGTGTGTGGATTTAACTAGAGAAATGTGGTTGTTGGTCAGACCACGTTTGGGATTTACTTTAAAGTGTGCCATAATATTTAAATGTGACCTATTGTGTTTTCTTCCAGTTGTTTCAGAATAGGTGCAGAGTAGACAAATAGTTGATTTCCTGGGTTGGGGTCCTTGATACAATATCTAGTCAGAGTTCTAATATGAGTAGAACAGGTTGAGGTGGTGCACATCTGTATTTTCAGTTACTCAGGAGATTGAGGCTGGAGAATCACAAGTTCAAGGCCAGCCTGGGCAATTTAGCAAGATCTTATCCTAAAACAATCAAATAAAAGCAGGGCACAACTGTCTTTACTACAGAACAAAGATTTATTGTATACTATTTTTGAAACATTTTACAGATGGTTAGATCCTAAGCAATAAGATTATTTGTTCCTAGAGTTACAATGGATCATAGATGTAAATCTCACCTTCCTTAAATGAAGGGAATAGGGTGCGCTTTGTTCAATAGGGAAATAGTGTGCTTTCATTTTTTTCTGACATGTTAGTAATGTGATTTGGATCTCTATATATTAATCTCTACTTTTCACATTTAATATAGTACTAATGTGCACCACTTTTCCTCTAGAAACCTACATCTGTATTGAAATTTTACCGAGAACTTGGATTGCCACCAAAACAGAAAATTAAAATCTTTAATGTAACAGATAATGCTGTAATTAAACCAGGTAATCTGAGGTCGGGGAGAGGAGGGAGGTAAAAATACCCAATTATGTGACTTGTTTAATGTTAGCTATTTCAATAAAGCTGAATCTAAAATACAAAGTCCCAAACACTTTATTTTTAAATATAAGATACCATCTGATTTAATCACTAGGAACAAACAATTCCTTGTCTCTTATAAATGGAGAAAGCTGTAGGGGACTCTTTGTTTTCTGAGAGAGGGAGGAACACTTTTTTTTTTTTTTTAATGTAGAGCTTCTTATTTGGAAAAGCCACTTTCAAATAAATACACTAACTTTTAAAATTCAAGGTTCATTGTTTGCAGGCTGGCATTCTGTTATGTGAAGAATAACAAGGCTCTCTTTAGTGAAAAAATGTAGCCCAAAACTGGAGAGTGACCTATAATATTAAGATTCTTATTTAAAATTTCCACAATGTTTTACCTGATCCATGGAATGTCAGAAAGTAGAATTTGGTATATGATTTTATCTGTCACAAATGCAGCTTTTTAATGTTTTTGAACTTAAAAGCCCCCCAATTTCTTGAATGTGAATTCTAACAAGATTGTAGAAATTTTTAACTTTTATATCTTGAAGGCAAAAAGTAAATTGAATTATAGATAATTTGCTCTGAAATGGTTTTAAATAAATCTTTGGCATTAACACATCTAATTTTCTTAAACCCTTTGTGCACATTTAGGGTAAGAATAAAAATTGAATCCACACCAACTTTTGCGATTGCTCTGACCATATGAAGTTGTTGTTTTTATGGATCAAAAATGGTAAAATAGCAATTTAAGTCATTCAGCTTCATAGAAATGCACCCTATGTAATATTCTTGGAATCTCCCCAATTTTTCTTTTTTTAAATTAATATTTTTGATTGACAGATGATAACCATATTCATTTAATGGGGTATATTGTGATTTTGATATATGTAGGCAATGTGATTAAGTCCCTATTTTTTCTTAATTCAAGGTCTTTCTCTTGCCAGGTAAATCCAGGTTATATCCTACCTTAAAGAAAACTACTGGGCTGGGGTTATAGCTCAATGGCAGAGTACCTTCTTAGCCCGTGTGAGGCACTAGGTTCAATCCTTAGCACCACGTAAAAAATTAAAAAAAATAAAATAAAGGCATTCTGTCCATCTACAACAACAATAAAAAATTTAAAAGAAAAAGAAAACTACTCTCTGAAATCCCATTGTACTTTACTACTATTATACAAACTAACTGAAATTAGTCTTTAGTTACATTGGTTCCTGGGGGTTTGTTTTGTTTTTATCTCTTTTTTGACCGTATCAATGTGATTCTTTACCAAGATGATAAATTTCTTAAGGTCAGGGGCCTTCTTTAATACTTTTGCATTTTTAGCAATATGTGTTTATAAATATTTTGTAAGTATTTGCTAATAATTGCCAAATTAAGTAGTTTTCATAAATGTTAATATCTAATATACATAAACAAAATACTGTGAAAGCTTTCATCACAAAATTTTAATTTTTTTAATGACTTATTTCCCAAGGAAATTTAAAATTTATATATAATTAAATGCATATAAATAAACATTTGTAAATGTTTCTATGTAGAGTTAGGAGTACCTATAATGACAATTTTTGCTCTTGCAAATATTGGGGCACATATTGAAACAATGACCAGTACATCAAAATTCTAATACATATGGGCTTTTTAGGGCTATCGTGACCATACCATGATCATTACCTAGCATATGAGGGGCCTGGGTTCAGGTAATTAAAGTTTCTGTTTTTCTCCAATGGGTAATAAAAGACTTGCTCAAGCCCCAACATGTTTTTAGTTCTTTTCTTATTTTTTTAATGTAATATAGATAATATATCCTAGTTCATTTTACTTATTTACCAAAACAACTAAGAATTTTCAGATTGTGAGTTCATCAGCAGTCATGGTGTCACTCATTTTGACCAGCTCCACTTTGGCCTCTGGCTGGTGGCTCTCTTCAGCACCGTGTCTCTCATGCTAGGCCACCATGTTCTTTAGCCAACTAAAAGACATGTTTGTTGAATAGTGTCATTGTTTGGGTGTTTCTAATGTTTATAATTACAGAAGAGACCTTTCTGTTTTTTATGAAATTTAATAGCTAAGAGGCTTCCTGGTTCTAGTGTTTGTTTTAAAAAGTTGTTTCTGTGTTAATACATTTCATGTTGATTTTTTGTTTTCTTTTCACAAAGGCACTCCTCTTTATGCTGCTCACTTTCGTCCAGGACAGTATGTGGATGTCACTGCCAAAACGTAAGTCCTCATAGCCGTCTCTTTTCCTTTCGTTGTTCCTCATTGTTATATATAAGTGATATTTTTTTGAAAGCAAAACTTCTTAAATGTTTTAACAAGAGTCTAAGTTGGTAGAAATCAACTAACAGATGTTAACTTTGAGTCATATGTAGACTGGACATGGTATTTTTGTTACTGTAGCTTTTTCATATCTTACCATTGTTGCCAAATGTTAGTGCTGGCTAGATGATCTCCAGGAAACATCTGGATCTTTTCAAAAATTTTAAAACTTCAAAGGTTGGTTAATGTTTCTGGATTTAATTGCAGCCGAGTGCCAAAATAAACCCCTGTTAACCAAAAAAAAAAAAAGGTTAATGTTACTTCACCATGGGAGGAAACAATCAAGCTCTTATATAGGTTTCTATAGAAATTATTCTGTATAAGTTGTTGGAATTCAAATGACAAGAGTAAATAAACTCCAGGTATCAGCTGTTATCCATTCCTCTTATTCTCTCATATAGGTCATAATTTCATTTTTGTGTATAATTTTTCACCTTTTTGTTATGACATCTGTAAGAATATTCTGACTAGAAACCCTTTGAAAGAACCAAGTATCCACATGTGATCAGGAATTGTCTTGTGATCTCAGTGGCTGAATAAAGTTTGTTGTTGTTATGTCTTGTTTTGGATTTTCTTTTTTGTTGTTGTTGTTTTATTTTTGTGGTGCTGGGGTTCAACAAAGTGGCTTTTCTCCAAAGAGTCAGATATAGCCTTCATTTCCACACCATCATCACCTATTTTCAAATATGGGCCATTGCCAAAGCTACTAGATACCTTTATCTCTGTTCAACTATTTAGAAGTGAAGCAGGATAAACTGGTAGGGTAAGTTCTCTTTTTAGGGGGAGATATGAACCTGACACTTTTCTTTCTTTTTTTTTTTTTTTTGCTTCCTAATTGTCATGGACTTGTCCCAAGAAATCACATGTTTCTTGGGAACTTTGTTTTGCTTTCCTTTTCAAGAACTTGAAATGTTGACAGTTTGATTTGGTTAGTTGAGGTAGTGTTGTAAATCAGATTATTTTATTTTTTAGTTAATTTATTTATTTATATTTTATGGTAGTGGGATTGAACATAGTGGTGCTGTACCACTTAAATACATCTCCAAAACCCTTATTTTTTTGAGACAGGCTCTCCTTAAGTTGCCAAGAAGGCTGGCCTCCAAGTTATCCTCCTCCTATCTCAGCCTCCTGAGTCACTTGAATTATAGGCATGCACCACCACACCTGGTTAGAGTATTTTACCTTTTTTTTCGGGGGGGTAGGTACTGAGGATTGAACTCAGGAATACTAATCCACTAAGCCATAATCCAGCCCCTTTTATTTTGATACAGAATTTTGCTAAATTACTAGACTAGCATTGAAATTATAATCCTCTTGCCTTGGTCTCCCCAGTTACTAGGATTACAGACAGGTGCTACTACGCCTGGCGTAGATTATTTTACTTTTTTAATTCAGATTTATTGTATAAAATACATCATAGTAATTCTGTTACTGTATACATAGTTCATATTGTGTTAATTTCATTATATGTTTTACAGGGTATATGGGATATTCTAAAAAGCCATGCAAAGTTAGGGGCTTTTGTTAGCAGTTGTCTTGTGGCCAGGTTTGTGGATTTGCTTGGATAAGAGCCTAACTTTACAAATACCTATGTTCAGTAAAAGATTTCACTTCATATGTTGCTATTGAGTTACTTTGGTTTCTTTTTAAAAGTTATTTTTAAAACTTTAGCCCTTTTGTGAGTATAAAGTGAAAGGGAAAGTTCTTTTGTATTCCTAGAAAATAAGAGTATATAAAGTTGTGTGCCCATCTCAAGACTAAATAGCTGCTAAGAGCTAAGAGAATAGCCCAAGGATTTAAATAGTGATAATAAACTCTGGAGAAAGGAGGACCCTCTACACCCATATGAGAATATCTTCACTATTGCTTGGGCTCCAGTTCAGTATTTTGTTTAATTTTGACTGTGTAACAGTGTGTTGGGAGAGTTACCCCACACAGGGTTACATTGTATTCTAGTGTGCATACCTTCATGTTGAATTTCCTGGGGTCAGATTGAATTGGATTTTTTGCTAAATGTTTCCAGTGACTATAGCTTTTATAGCTGATATGTTGCTATATCTGTAAGATGCTTTTAAATACTTGTAAACTTGTAGGATTCCTTGTTCTGTCTCATGTGGTGCTTGATTTGAATTCCTCTGAATGTGCCATTGGCTCCTTAGCTGCACACAGTCCTAGTTACTGTTGCCTCTTTGCCACTCACTTCCCTAGGCTGTAGTGTTTGTACATATGCCCACATACTTTTATGTGCATTTGCATGCTTTTCTTCTTTTTTAACTCTTATGTCCTTCTCCTGATGCTTCTCATTTGCGGGCAGTTCCCCTTGCTTGGAGTTTAAATTCTTGGCAGCCAATTTAATGTTCTTTTCCCTGATAACTTGGATAAGCACTGTGTCTTCTCAGTTCCTTATTACTATTTAGTGCCAGAGGTTTTCTACCCCATCTTCCATTTTCAGCCTTGGTTTTAAAATTTTGAGACATCTAAGCTTCATCTTACTTGCACTTGTAACAAGATTATTAATCTTGTTACAAGTGCAAGTACACTAGAGTTAAAAATTGTGCAGTGTCGTGGTTAGTGACGAGTGATGAGGGGAAGTGGACTTACAGGCTGAAGCAGTAGTGGCTTTTTCACTTGAGTGGGCTTCAAAATCTCCTAAAGGGTTTGTTCAACAGACTGATGGGCCTGCTCCACAGAGCTTCAGGTCTGACAAGTTTCCAGGTGATGCAGATGCTACTGCTCCAGGAGCACACTTTGAGAACCACTGACCTAGAAAAGTGTTGCACTCCTCAGTTAAACAAGCTTCTCTTCCTCCTTTTTTTACCCAGCACAGCATTCAACATGCCTTTCTCTCCTTAACTATGGTCAAGTTGCAACATACAAATGTGTTTAAGACACACCAGTTAAATTTATCCAATTGAAAATAACATTGTCAATAAAATGGGCTGCCTGTTTACTACTTACATTTTAGCATAAAATTGAAAATCATTATGTTTATTTATAGGCCTCACTATCTTTTCATTAGAAAAAAATCCAATTATTAATCTCTATTTATATTTTGACTTTCAGGCTTTTTTTTTTAAACCTAATATCTTCAGTTTTAAAATGTTGAAATGGGAAAACACTCTTTGCTTCCAAAAAAAAAAAAAAAAAGTAATCAATCAGTGACCAACAGTAGCAGCTTCTTCTTGAAGATATTCTTAAAACTTAAATGTCTCTTTTCTAATAATTACAATAGAAATCTTACCTCAAAAGATACATTGTGTTTACCTGTACTCAATTTGATTATAATTCTCTGTATAAATAGGGACCATTTACCAGTGTTTCTTTGAGATATGAGGTGAATATGTATTTACCAGAGTTCATTTTAGTTTTTGCTTTTATACCAGAAATAGTTTTTCACCTAAAGGATCAGAAAATACAGATTGAGTTTTGATTGTATGGGAAAAGATTTTTACATCTAATGTGTAAAACCATATGGCAGAATAGTTTTACAGTTTTATCATACTGTTAGTAGATAATAAAGCCCAGTCTTTGCACTATGACTGTCATATATAATTCATACTTAGTGAAATTTTTAAATTCACATGTACAATGATATCTGTCCTCTGTCCCCCCACTTCACTATACTTTTAAAGTTTATTTTCTTTTTCTGTAATAGTAATAATATATTTTCATTGTACCTTGAGAAACAAGATTAGAACACAAATATAAATATATTTGTGTTCTAATAGATAATGGTTTGGAGTCTTCATATTCTACCCTTTTTTGTTTGTTTGTTTGTTTGTTTTTTAAATCTCAATTTCGAGGTGGCAATAGCTGCAGATAGTGAACAAATATAAATAGTGGTGAGATGAGGATATTTAGCCCGTGTTTTTCTTATATGTTCTATCAGTGCTTATTATAAGCTGAGTTTAAAAAAAGAAAGAAAAGAAATGAGAAAGTAATGAAACAAAAAATAAAGAAAACTCTAAAATTGCATTCTGCTGTGTTTAGGAGAAAAAGTTATGTCTTTGTCTCAAAGGATTTGAAGGACAGAAATGGTGGTGATGCATCCTTAACAGTGGACACAGGTAGGAAGGCACTTTCCCGCCTGGTGTCTTATTAAACTTTGAATTCATGACAGTGCCATGCCTGAAATAAATTTTTTCTGGTTGTCTAGAATTCTTCTTTTATTTACTATTTTAATTTTGAAACTTATTTTGAAGTCAGAAATAGTTTATTCCATTACTTAAATGGTTGGTTTTCTTTGTGGAAGAAGGAGAAAGTAAAGATCTTGTCTACAAGCCTGGGCTAATTGGAATAATCCATGTATTTTCAGATATAATCTTACCTTTTTTTTTTTTTTTTTTTTTGCTACCAGAGATTAAACCCAGAGGTGTTTAACCATTGAGCCACATTCCCTGCCCTTGTTATAGTTTAGACACAGGCTCTCACTGAGTTACTTAGGGCCTCACTAAGTTGCTGAGGCTGACTTTGAACTCACAATCCTCCTGCCTCAACCTCCCACGTTGCTGGAATTACAGACATGTGCCACTGCACTTGGGTATAATCTTACTATTTTAAAGGGGTTGGTGCCCTCTAAATTCCCATTGCTCTTTGATATCAAAATAGAAAAATAGTTATTCATCTTGGTAATGTTCTCCTTTGTAGTAAAAATTAAGGAGAATGGGGTAGGGGTGATTAACTGATTAATAGCACAACTCTGCACATTTATTGAGATTCACTTAGTTTGGGCTTTTTCATTAAAATATCAAAATGTATAAAGAAGTATTATTACCCTCAAATCCTTAAAGGTAGTTAAAAAGTCAGGTGACTTCTTAAAAGTAAAACTTTCTAGGCTTTGTGCAGAAACCCTCCTGACTGCCTGGTTCTTCTGACTGGTAGATGTTTGCTGAGAACTCTGA